AGGAGGAGGAGGAGGAGGAACCTTCAGCTTCATGAATTAAAAACTAAAGTTTTTAAAATAAACCATCCAATCAGCAGCCTGAGCCCCTCATGACCTCATCTGACTCCACCCTCTGGAGGGACCCCCTCCCCTGAGGTGTGGGTCAGCGATAAGATGATGATGATGATGATGATGATGATGATGATGATGATGATGAAGGTGATAACTGGGAGTCGGTGCATTAACGGATCGATCGGGTCGGGCCTTTCAGCGCCGCTAAAGCGTCCGCCGCTCTGATAGCTGGCACTCGCCTCGACAGGAATCCGATGGCGCTGTCTGTGTGTGTGTGTGTGTGTGTGTGTGTGTGTGTGTGTGTGTGTGTGTGTGTGTGTGTGTGTGTGAGTCGATTTAACACACTATCCTGCTACAAGGCTGCAGCTTTGTGTGTGTGAGTCTTGTAAGTGCTGGGCAAGTGAATCATTAGATGTGCCAACATGTGTGGCTGTAATGTTTGTATGTTGAAGAGCTCTCTCTCTCTCTCTGTGCGTGCATGCGTGTGTGTGTGTGTGTGTGTGTGTGTGTGTGTGTGTGTGTGTGTGTGTGTGTGTGTGTAGGGAGGTTGCCTTGCCCTGTGTCAGACCTCTGCTGTGCTCGGTAAGTGAGGCGTGCTAATACTGCGTGTGCTCAGGTTTCACGCATCAGCACACAGTCGAAGAGACTTACCCGAGGTCACAGACTGTCAACCCACCCCCCTCCCACCCACTGCCTTTCCTCCTTTGACTCAATCCTTCCTTTTCTCTCTCTAAACACTACACCTTTAGCCAAGCTTCGGCAGTCGTTTCTGCTTCACCCCCTTCCCCTTCCCACTTCCCCACTTTGCTATCAGTCCTCTCCTCCCACCTCCTCTTCCTCCCAAGAGGATTCCATCGCGCTCAGTCTTTTAGTATCTTTCATGTCTTTTACCTGTCAACAGAGGAGAGAATGTGCGAGCAGCTCCACAACAAAGGAAAAACACCCTTCTGTCATCTCAGAAAATGCTGCAGGGTGGGGGGGGGGAGTCGACAAGGGGGACAGAGGGAAGCAGATAACATGCAATGGAGAATAAAAAGGGAAATGTTGAGTGACGGAGATAAAAAAAAAATGGAGGCAGAAAGTATTGTGCTTCTAGTACATAGATGCATGCAGTACCAGAACAACTGTGTTGCATCTTTAAAACAAAACATGTCTCGAACACACGTCGTCTCTCCAAAAGCTTCAAGCAGCTGGAGATGATGCAGTCTGCTTGTAAACAGTCACTTAGCTTAGGAGCCCATATTTTAATGATAAAGAGCCGCCCCGTGTATCAAACAAACACACGTGTCGGAGAACACAGCCAAATGTTCACGCATGACCTCTTCAGCTTCACACAGCTGCAGTGTGCGAATCCCCAGCAGCTGTCCAGCAGTACACATTCACATGAGATAAAACTATAAGCTGTTCAATCCAATCGGCACCTAACCCAATCTGTGACTGCCTCTCTATCCCATACTCAATGTGTGTGTGTGTGTGTGTGTGTGGTGTGTGTGTGTGTGTGTGTGTGTGTGTGTGTGTGTGTGTGTG